TTTCCCTACCCCAACAGCTTTTAAATAAAGCCTTGAGATCTTTTACACCTAAAGCCTAAGTTCCATCAAAAATAAAGAGATGTTTCTTTTCTAGTTGAATTAACATTCCAGTTACTTGCACCAGTACTCTGCAAGTTATTCAGTACTCTTCACAGGAACTTTTATCTTTATTCTTAATGCTAGTTGAGGCTGTATGAGGGATAGGAGGCTTTGGGGCTTCTCAGCTGAGCTTCTGGCAGAGTTGAGATTCTTCTCATCGAATATCCATCTCTGATTATCCCTACTTACCTTTCCTCACGTACAAGTCTAGATAACCTGGTTCTTATTTCTATAGTTTGTACAAGCTTTTTTTTTTTTTTTGGTTAGAAAAAGCTAGTCAGCTTTTAAATTGTCTAGATGGGTAACAGAAAGCACAAAACGTGCACATTGATTAAAGGGGAAAACCTACATTGATTAATCTGCTGCAAAACAGTTTTCTAAGAAGAACATGCTATTTTGTGTGTTGCAGGAGGAAAAGAAAAGTAAATTACAAGTCTTGGACTTAGTATTTCCATGTAATCTCTTAGGCATCTCTTAAACATCATTACTTCTCTGTCTCTTCCAACTACAACAAATTAAGCTTGTCAGTGTTCCGTAAGACGTTACATTTTCTCAAATCAGACTTTCCTTGACTGATGACTGTGGCCTTACCAGGCAATCTGTCAAATTATTTTTAGCAGAGAGATTGGAATAATAGAAGCACACGGTGTTGTTCATGGTGCTGAATCCTCTTGATTCCTTAGACAGATACATAGAATTGTTATCCCTGCATTTTATCTTCCTGGATTCGTTGCTGGGTATCAGAATTCTGGCAGCCTCCAAATTGTCATGCAGCTTCAGTACTATGACCAATAAACAGACTGTTTTGTTTTCATTCTATTTCTGCTAGAATAAGATCTCCAAATAGAGTCTGGTCTGATAATTTACTGTTGACCTATAATTACACTTCGATGTGTATTGATTTCTTAAATCAGAGAGCAGAGAGCAACTATTTTTGTTTATAAATCAAAAGTCATGATTTGATTCTTCTATCTTTTTGAACTTTAATAATTAAGCTCCAGCAATGAATGCCCCTATGGTTCTATTTAGGCCCAGCACAGCCCTTCTTAACCATATGGAACACCCATTTTACAGTTATTTTTTCTATTTTCTTGATATTGTGTATGTAAAGGTGGCCACAAATTAGGGCATTAATTAAAATGACAATTGAATGAGAACTTACCTGTTCTTTTCCTATTTTTGGTAGGCCGTGCATTTGTCCATGTTTATGCATAAATGCATGAGTCATCAGTACTTGTACATTTTGTATCTTGAAAAAGTTTGCAGCTCAAGTAGTTTGAAGAAAGACATTTTGAGCCATCAATTCCCAATAAAGCTATACAGTTAGCAGTCAAAACCAGAGGTCTTGATACAGTGAGTAGGAGTTAATGGGTGATTTCAAAAAGCATATATTGTTAATGTGCAGGCAGATAAATCATCTAACCACTTCTGGTACATGTAATCTCAGGATACTTAAGAACAGAGATACTTTTTTTGTGTGTCTTTTTTTTAATAAACTTTGTCAGCAGAGGAAAACAGTAACAGAACAGAAACCCCCTCTAGATTATATGCCTTAGTCACAATTATTCATTGCCTTGCCAGCATATGTCTCTAATATATATGTGCACTGATGTCCAAGAACAAGATATAGGTTTCACTAACTAAGCCAATTCGATTTATGAATGTTATGTTTCGTTTGTGTTCTCTGTATGGCCCTAGTTCTGATCTCTACTGTGTGATTCCAATTCCAGTGGTAAACTAGAGAGATAAGCGTTAAGACCTCTGTAATCTCAATTTCTGGCAAAGTTTTGGTGTGATCAGGTGGGTGAGCCAATAGAATATATGACTTTGGTGTACTGAGATTATCCATATCACTGAGTCTAATTGCCTTTACTGACAGAACTGAAGAGAAATTCTAAGTAAGCTCATAAAGGAGTGAAACAGGCAAACACGGTGTGAGACTCAGATATTTTTCACTAGCAGTTCCCAAGTTTGTTCTCTAATGTCAGCTATGACCACAGAAAACTAATATCATGCAAATGTGAGTATAAGTTGTAACAATGTATCACCTTTGCCATTTTTCTTGGTATAACTGGCTTATTGGAAATTCATATATTTGCTGGGCAGAAACGTTTTGACCTTGTATGTTGTTGGTTTAGCTCTCAATGAAAAAAGAACAAAATCTGACTTGAAAGATCTTTGAATTAAGAAACCTAGCTTTTGCCACAAGTCTAAACAAATGCCACGTAAAATTCCCTCATCAATTATTCAAAATACTTCTTATATAATTGTTTGTAGAAGGGAAATACGAAAGTTCTCTAAACATAAAAATAAAGACCTACTTCTTGAAAAGAGAAGTTATTCTTTTGTTTCTGCTGACAACAGGCTAACTCAAAAGGAAGTAGACCCTCCTATGTGAAAGGAGAGCAAATGACTTCATCCAATGCTTGCAGTTTTACATGAAGAATTGCATTTACTGAATGAATGAATGAATCAGTGTTGAATATTATGTTCAACACTGTGCAATCAAAACTACACAAAATAGACTCTTGTTTTGGAAAAAAAAAATCTACTTTGTACTGCATAGTAGAAGTCCACATAGACCGTTCTTACTAAATGATTCTTTATTATGTCTTTTGTAAGAGATTGGTAATTCTGTTAAGATCAGGGTAAAGCTACAAATACTTTGAAGATACTTGTAACATCTGAGTCATATCTGTAACTACGGCCAAGCCGTTTTAATGCAGGGACTGATTCCATCTATGATTAATGCCCTACAAATACTTCTCAGTTGAAAACCAGTCTATATAAAATATACTAGCAAAAACTTAAAAAATATTTCTTATGAGGAGAAATAAAGTTTAGGGGAAAAAATCATTCAAGAACATGCACGTCATCTACAAGTGTAATTATCCCCTGTTTAAACTTGTGTCAGGAAGTCTATAGAGAACAGATCAAGAGCAAAGAAGGAACCTAATTAAGCAGGTCTTGTTTTTAAAGTTTAGGGGTTTTGTTTGGTTTTGATTCAGCAGAATTTGAGAGATATCTCAGGCCTCAGATATCTAAACTTAAAAATCTCTACATGGGTTCACAATTAACAAAAGTACAATTTTCTATGGATGGATTATAAAGTTAGATCAAAAGGTACTAAAATGATTAGGAAAGTTAAATGATAAAAAAAAACTTGCATGGGAGGGGGAATTTGACCATGCTGGTATCAGGTCTTAAATCATGCTGATGTGCAGAAGGCTGGGTTCCTATCCTGCTGCAAAAGTAAGACTTCGCTAGCTTTTTTGAAATTGTGGTTGCATTGCTCAACTGGTACAGATCACATCCCTTCACACTCTGCCTGTGGTTTATAAAGGCATCTGGAGTCATTAATTTCTTCAGAATTGGCTGCTCTGTTCATGGAAGAAGGTAGATTCTGAAACGTTTTTCTCCCCACCCACACCAGCAGAGCAGTATAAATGAGAAAAAACAAAAATCTCATCAAAGCAAAGCTGTTGTCTGAAGTCACAAAAGGCCAGGCATACTTTGTTGTTCTGGATACAGCCTGTTTTATACAGCTAAACATCATGGTGGTATTCAGTTTAGGTATTATTACACATTTGTAAAAAATATTTTACTAGTCCTGTATTCTGGTTACATTAGTAATTATAGTAATTATCCAAAAATCTTTCAGACTACAAAACTGAGGGTTAGATTTGATTTACTCTGAGCTGAAGGGCATTCAGGTAGAATTTTTGACTTATTCTGTTTTATTTTGTTAGTAACTGTTCAACCCATATTTTGTAGTGCCTATGTTCCTGATATTGTACTTCAGGTAAAACTTAGGTCCTTCTTGAAGTAGAATTACTAACATTTCTTACCATGGTCGGCATTTTACTGGAAGGCTCTGTTAGCTTCCCCAGAAAATATTCTCCGTATAGCCACACCTTTCCTTTAATACTTAGTAATGTTGTTTATTCTGGGCATGCTTCAGTACATTACTTCATTTTAAGCTTGTACGTAGTTCCACTGAAGTCATGCTAAAGTATCTGGATATACTGGAAATTGTTGCATGCTGCCCCTGACTTCTGTGGGTTTTTGTTTTTTTTTTTTTAAAGCGTGTTGTTCAATCCCCAGAATAGTTTTTAGGATATTATTTTTCCTTTGTGGCTTTAAGTAAAACGGTTGCTGTACTGGTTTCTGTTCTCTTTATTGTAATGAATGACATTTCAGTATCCTTATTACTCCCTGAAAAGCAAACTTAATATATTCTGCAGAGTGCCATTTCTATCTGCCTACACTAAAAAAAGAGACAGCAAGATTTTTTTAGAGAGTATATGTTGCTTTGATATCTGCAGAATACAGCAGAATTGGTATGTGTTTTAGTTGTAGAAAAGATTCTTAGACAGAACTGAATTTATTGATTGTAGTATTTCTCAGGAATGAAGAATAGTGTTTCAGTGGTGTGAACACTGGTGTGAACAATTAAAACAAAGATCCAGATTTTTACAAAGTATAAATTAAGATATTTTCAAGAATGTCCACCGAGTTTGCAGAGCATGTTTAACGAGTTGCTAGAGCAGCCGTAACTTCCATTGCTTGTGAATTTGGTGGTACCCAGCCACAGAGCAGCTGGTTTACATGAATCATATCAAATCCTCTCATGTTTAGTTAGTGGAAAATCCAACAGGCCACACTGACGAGTTCTTTTAAAAGTAGAAATGAACATTTTGATTTAGATTACTGAACCACTAGGTCATGTGCCAGTAGGACACTAGCAAATTCCATTCGCTTGGAAGGCATTTTACTCTAAAGGAGAGTAAATGAATGCCTTGTGAAAGAAACTGCCTGATTTATTTTGCTGCGCAAGTCCAGGAAACTGCATTTTGATTTTATTTGGAAGCTACTTCTTCAGAAAATTCTGTCACATGCTGGTGTGATAGAAAATTGACTGAGGTATAATAACTTTTTAGATTCCATGTTGGCTTGGTTTTCTATTCTGTATCAGAAGGTGGGTAATTTAAAAGCTTTAAATTCTTGGCTTGAAAATATGTAGATTTTGGCATGTTATAGTAAGCACTGGTAAAACTCAAGGACATGTCCCACTGCAGGAGACAGGAGCTTGCATAATAGTGCTCCCATTAACGAAAGTAATGTTTTTAGATTGTGTGGTTATTGTCACATTGGAATGTTCCCAGACTTGCACTTGAATCTTTGCCCAATAATTGTCTGAACCACTAATGTGCTGGTGAGCATCTAGCCGTCTTCTAGTTGTTGTTGGCAGGCTCCTAGGAGAGGAGACTTAGATGCAGAAAGGAGGCCAGCCACTTTCTACTCAAACCCTGGTGCTACATGCACTGCGGCGAGAGGCGTGTGCTGCTTGCAACTTGCTTGCAAGGTTGGGTACCACTGACAGATGTAGCGATGGCATCTCGTGGATTAGGTCTCTTTGCATTGTAGCAAGAGTGCCAAATCTGGCCAATGGCATTTCTACCTGAAAAGAGGTAAACAGGGATGAAGATTCAGCAATCCAAAGCAGGTTTTTTTTTCTTGATTCCTAGTAAATTACTAGTTTAGTAGGTTCACTGGTTTCTGAAAAGTACAGTAAATGTTATTACTCTAATGTTTTTCAACCTTCAAAGTACTACTACAGCCAAAGGTTTTGATGGAAATCTATTCTAAACACATGCAACTCTCAATTTTTCTTTTGTCCTAATCCCTGACATCCATCCTTAGTAGATTTAAAAGATCTTTGTTTCATTTATGAGCCTGTATCTTAACATATCACAACATTTTTCTGTGATCAAGCTTCTAGTTTCTCATTAGTTTATCTATCTCCACTGTCAACAATTTTGAGTAGTGCATCGTGTTTGACCAATACTAGGGTACTTGCTATGTATTCTTTAATTTGCTAAAAAGCATCTCTGTATCTTTCCCCTTATTCTCACTACAGGCCCATTGATTATGGGTATCTGCAAAAATATTGAAAGTACATATATATTGATTTTGAGAGTTTGAATTTATTATTTTTGCAAGTGCCATGTAACCATCATATATATGATTAACATTCTACAAAAACTGAGACTTGGAAACTAATTTATTTAAATAGTACAATGAATATCATTAGAAAATCTGGTATCTGTCATGGCTGACTTTTTTTTTTTTGCTTTTGTTTGGAAATTTAATAAAACTAATGTATTTTAATGATTTCTAGCTCCTTTGACTTACTGCTACATTATTCTATTATATTAGGACCAGGGATAGACCAAACAAGTATAATTTGTGCTACTATCTGAGGCCTCCTGCTTAGTTGCATAATTTCTGAAAGTTATCTAGTGTGTGTTGAGGTATAAATTTGGTTCTGACATGTTTGAATAAGATCTATCCTGAAATCAATAGATAGATTCTGTTTTCAAAAAGGTTATGAGAGAAATGTTTTTGTCGTGTCTGTCTTTGCTTTTCTCTAGTATTTCCAAAAGCAGACGCCATTCTATTAATGAGTTATATTTCTTTGATGTTAAAATGATTTCATTTTGCAGTGCTGCAGGCCTGCTTGCAACTGATCGCTGACAGCAAAAGTGACGTCCAACAGAAAGGTAAGGATATATTCCATGATTTTTAGTTATTTGATATGTTAGCTTTTCTATCTAATTTTAGCTAACTTCAAAGCAAACTGAGTTATGTGGCCTGATTTTTTTCTGAAAAATAAAGAAAAACACCCAAAAAGACTATACCGCTGGACAACTCTTGCACATATTCTCTTTTCAGTGGGGAAATCCCATTATTAAGACTGGAAGTCTTGACTAGAGGTCAGCATTGTTTATTCTTAACAGATGAAAACTAAGGAAGTAAATTTGTTTTTCTCGTTACCCCAAAATTCTTGTTTCTTCTAGACGATTCAAGCATTGTCCCTTGGCTTCTTAGTTTTAAACGTGGAACAGCTCTGGAAGAACAAGGAAATAAAATAGTGATCAAAGAAACAGGATACTTTTTCATATATGGACAGGTAGGAATGCTCAATGGAATGCTCAGTTCACTTCAGTTCTCCACTTTTTAAGAATTTTAAATGTCTTTGACAATATGTTTGAAGTCTGTCCTTCTTCCTTCTCCAGGTTTTATATACAGATACAACATTTGCTATGGGACATCTAATACAGAGGAAAAAGGCCCACGTGTTTGGTGATGATCTCAGTTTGGTGACATTGTTTCGTTGCATCCAAAATATGCCACAGTCTTATCCGAATAATTCTTGCTATACTGCTGGTAAGCATCTAAGTTTTCCTTTTCTTCGTTTACAAATAAACAGTATCAAGTAGAATCCGTAGTGATGGGTGATTAAGTATTGTGGCAGTTGTAGAGAAAATAGGCTACATTCATGGATCAGCTTAATTGTAAAATTACAGAATACTTTCAAAAAAACTATAGTTTCATGTGTATATATTCATAGTCTGTCTGTAAGCATCTAATTTATGTGATCTGAGTAATTTCTCTCTCTCCATCAAATATATAAGAAGCTTAGATACTTTAATGTTTTCACAGTTAGATGCCTGCAGCAGCCAAAAAGGAGTACATACTGTCCTTAAGGAAGAACTCAGTTTAACTTAGGTGTTGAATTCCAGATTTGGGTATGCTAGTAAAATTTTTAGGATTTATGTTCTGCTTTAATACATCAAACATGAATTTCAGCCACCCAATTTTTATGTACCTTCTCAGGGAATTTTTAAAGATTCTCATTGTCAGCTTAGTTCTTTGCATCTAATAATGACTACTGCAGTTTTACCGTTTGGTTAGATGGAAAAGTAATTAGTTTCTATACAAAACTTGCACAAACCAAGCACATCACAAAAAAGACCTTGTAGAATATTTAGTGCAAGCCCAGCAGGCCGAATGAATGCTCAACATGTATGTATATTCCCATAACAGTATTTAAGAAATTATTGTCAAGGCCTACTCATCCTCATTCAGTAACTCTTTTATATATCTGTCTTTCCTCCTGGTTGGTAGAATTGGAGAATTCCCTGTAAATAAAAGCTGTCTTTTTTTAATGCCTTTGTATACAAAGTAGGTGATATTCAGTGACAAGAGTTCGCTGTTGGCAAGTATTGGCATTATACAAATGGGACAGGAAAGGAAGCTAACTTTTTTTCCAAATAAAAGTAAATTAGCTATTTCCTCCTGCCAAATGAGACTATCCAAACTTTTTCTTTAACTTTCTGCCCTTCGTCCCACACATTCTGGCATCATAACCAGCTTTAGTTTCATGTATCCTTCTATCTCACCCTTATTTTACAGCTCACTTTCTTAACTAGGGTCTCTACTCCATCCTGCCACTTTACAGTTCCTACTTCCCAAATCTTGATCCTCCACTTTCACCTGGAAAAGCAAAGCTCACTGTAATATCTCACACTTTTGAGCGTGTGTTGTTTAGTTATGCTTTCAGCTCAGTGACTATAATTCGAAGGTAAGGTGCTTTCAGCTGTCACGTCAGCTGATGCGTGGTTTGCAGGAAGCAGACTTTTGTACTCTGCAGTTGCAGTGGATCAGCTGATGTTTGGTAACTTCATTTGGTGTAAAAGCTGATGAGACCTCCTCCAGCAGTGTGAGAATGGAGTGGTCTAGGACCAACAGCACCCAATGCTGACCTTGTCCATTGCATCACCGTAACATAATGAATATTTGCTTAAGTGCACTATAACACGTTGAGCACAGAATGGAATTGCTAGGGATAGGAAGGTAGTTCCAGCTCCATAGATGATGTTAAATATCAGTTTTGGGTGAGCTTAAATTTGTAAGATTTTGCTTAAAGATTAAAAAAAAAAGCACTTGTCACAAGGAGCAAGACATACTTAGACTTATAAGATGATGTATAATAACTTATTGAATAGTATTTATGAAAATACTATATGTGAAATATTGACTTAAAAATATTCCAAATCTTTTGCCAGGCATTGCAAAACTGGAAGAAGGGGATGAGCTTCAACTTACAATACCACGAAGAAGGGCCAAAATATCCTTGGATGGAGATGGTACTTTTTTTGGCGCAGTTAGACTCCTCTGAAGCCCTACTTTTCTATTATTATGCTTAGTGCGTTTTTCTTCTCTTCCTATGCCTCTGAGAGAAAAAAATATTGGATTACAATAAAGCTACCAATTCAGTCTCTCTCTCTTTCCTCCCCGCCCTACCTTCCGAGACCTTTTCTTTGGTTTAATAAGCTAACCCAAAACAGGAAACCCACCAGACGTACTTGTGAGATGTAACCATCATGTGATTACCAGAAAGCCAATTTATTTAGACAATGGAAGACTCTAACTAACATCTGTAAATACATGCTTTTTGACTTTGAAGAAATTTCTTGTTCATGAGGCAAATCAAAGAGTTGACCCCAAAATATAGCGGAAGCAAGACCATTTTGATTATTATGTGTTGATTATTAAGGCTTATAACATAATGTGGACATAATGTGTATAAATTACTAAAATCTATTTGAATTTACTAATTAGAATCAGTTTTACTGGGAAAAGGACATGTAAGATGCTTTGACAGCTCAATCTTCAAAGCATTCACTACTCATTAAGGAATATGTGTATGCTTATACGTGAGCAAGGCAGAGATAAAAAGAAACACAGTGAAATGATGCCCATTTTATATACAGGACAGAAAATTAATTATTCTCCTTCAAAAGGACAATGTAGGTGTTTTCTCCAATTCTTATTTCAATAACGATCATGTAGGCCAGCTATACTTTTCTGTATCCTAATTTAGTAGGTGGAATTGGATTTCTGGCTTCAAAATTTTTGCAGTCATGTATATATGTCTGTGTGTATATATGTATGTGTGTGTATGTATGTATACATACACACTTATGTGTGTTTGTGTATATATATATATATATATACACACACATACACATATGAGTCATTAACACTTGAGCATAGGATTTTATTTTCTTTTGAACAGTTTATCCAATAGAAATATTATTGCGTACATATTTGTCCTATCTGTCTTGCTTTTTGCTATCATCCTTTCTAAGCAACATAGTAAAAAGACAAAGGAAAAAAAAAAGGCCATACAGTTAAGAAATCGTATTTGTATCCCAGAAGTCTGGGTTCAGTTCCTAGGTTAACTATAAACTTACTGTATGCTTTTGAGAATATTGCTCAAATCTACCTATACACAACAATCAAAACTGTAAATAGGTCTAAACAGATTTCTTCTTTTCTCCCTTTTGGCTGTCTGCTTTGTTCAGTAGACAAAATCTTTTTTTTCTTTTTTTCCCCAAGGATGCATGTAGACTGCACCTAATAGAGTGGTCAAGGCTTCTAGGAGCTATTGTAATACAAACATTAAATACTTACTTCCTGATCTTCACAGAAGTATTCAAGTGCTAGTGAAATAGATAAAAATAATAAAAAACACAGTAATGAACTGTGCTTCATTTGAAAAGATGTTCTAGGGGCTGAGTATTGTGTTATTAGTAAAGAAAAGGTGCTTTGTATATTGCAGTCTCCTTGTTCATTTTTATAAATAGTGCCTGCTTGATTGAATTATGGTAATTGACAATAAATGAAAGGTGTTGAAAGCCTAGAATTACAGACTATGGGAAACTCGTGAAACAATTAACTCAGCTTCTCTGTGCTTCAAGAGCACATTTCAGCAATGAGCATATGTATTGGATTACCGCCCTGGAGTTTTGCGAGGCATTAATTAAGATTTCAAAACGTCTAGGAGTCCTCCAACTTTGCATACAAATGCAGATAACTATTGTTTCTATGTTTATGTGTGCTAGAGGTAAAAACTGAATTTTATTATTATTATTTTGTAACTTTGATGTGTTAAGTCTGCCAAAACGATGTCTTAAATTCTGTACTGGAATCCTCCATTTAGGTAAAGGTTGTGGGAAGCTGCATTTAGATGAAACATTTATTAGCATGTAGGGAATCATCTTTTATTATTTAGTTACATTAAAGAAATGTCCAACATCTGTAATCAGGTGCTGGTTGGATTTGGCATTGTGTACGTTTATAGAAAAAATGTTGCTTTCCCTGAGAGTTCATGGCTAAACTTGCAAGTTTATCTTTTGGTATGTAAGTTTTCCTAGTGATCTCAGTGGGTTTGTGCATGCCTAGTTCAAGCAAATTCTGAACCGAGGTGCTTATCACCTTAGAAGATGTAGCTTTGATATATAGCATAATATTTTAAAAATACAGTATATAGCATAAATTCTGTGATGCTAAATCCACTGCCAACACTATCCCTTTTCTAATGGTTCTTCTTCCTTCTGTTGCTGGTGAATACAAACAGTGCAGAACAAAGGCAGATGTTCTGGATGTAGTATACCTTGGAGGAAAACCCTTTTTTTCTTTTCCGAGAGCAACGATTTCAGAAGCGTTCCCTTCCTACAATAGAATGAAACTGAACGTCAAGTTTCCTCACAAAAAATGTGCACCATGAGAACTCCCACACGGACGCAAAGTGCAAGAGGACAAACTGTCAGATATTTCTACTGACAAAGCCGGCAATACTTTGGGGGGTGGGGGGAGGGTGCAGTTCAGCTTTCTGCTAGCTTCATGAGAAAGTTTATCTTCTCAAAATCAGTCTAGTTCTGAACAAAGCTGAGTTTCAATAGATCAGCATTTTCTGACCAAAGCAAGAAGCAAAGGAGAATACCTCATTCCTGATGGTTCTGCTAAGAAACTGGTAATGCAGGAGTTAGCAAAGTGCATTCACGCTAGAGTCAGACCACATCAGTTAGTGGGAGTTCCTAGACTTTCTGCATTTGGTAACCAGTATTTAAATATGTGAGATAGGTAATAAGTGGTATCTAGTTGCTTCATACCGTATTTTGCAATCTTATCTAGGAGATCTAATATTTAAGATAACTTTCTGCAAATGCTAGATTCTGAGCAATTACTGTGTGGTTCTTTTTCAAGAGGTGTTAAGCAGCATCATGGTAAACATAAGGGACTTGAAGAACATTTGCATGGAAAACGTGAGGTGTGAGGTTTCCTTTTAAATAGTGTACAGTTGGCAGATATCAACTGTTTTGAAATAAGTAATTTGTATTGTACCTTAAAATGAAAATATGTATGTTATATCATGTGCCGTCTCACCCTACGTACATACACAGAATGCTCATTCATTCATATGGGGGAATGGAAGGGAAGGGAGGATGGAAGGGGAAGGATGGGAGGAGCAGCAGAAATATTTTCCAAGTTAACAACTGGCTGTGCAGCTCGTGTCGGCAGCAGGGTTTCGGTTTCTATGACCACAGGTCCTGTTTGGAGATCGACAGCTGGTGGGGAGAGATGGGATCCACTTCACTAAGCGGGGCATGCATGTCTTTGCCAACAGGTTGGCCAGCCTGGTAAGGAGGGCTTTAAACTAGGAAAGATGGGGGAAGGCAGAGTTATAGGGACAGGGTAGTCAGTAAAACGCCGCTCGAGTCAGGATGCCTGCGGCGGGTGCATGCAGCCAGGGGAGAGAGCATGGGACATGGCTATGGAGGATCCTCTTGCACCTCTCCTGGGAAACCTGCATGCTCTATTGCCTCTCTGAAATGCCTGTATACCAATGCACACAGGGAATAAGCAGGAAGAATTAGAGATCTGTGTACGGTTGCAGGGCCATGATCTCACTGCAGGTATAGAGACATGGTGGGATAGCTCGCGTGACTGGAATGCTATCATGGATGGCTATGTGCTTTTTAGGAAAGACAGGCCAGGAAGGCGAGGTGGTGGAGTTGCCCTTTAAGTGAAAGAGCAACTGGAAAGTATGGAGCTCTGCCTAGGGGTGGATGAAGAGCAAATCGAGACCTTACGGGTCAGGATTAAAGGGCAGGCTAACATGGGTGACACTGTTGTGGGGGTTTACTAGAGGCCACCTGACCAGAAGAAGGAAGTAGATGAGGCCTTTTGTAGACAGCTGGAAGTAGCCTCACGATCACAGGCCCTGGTTCTCATGGGGGACTTCAACCACCCTGACATCTGGTGGGAAGAGAGCACAGCTAGGCACAAACAGTCAAAGAGGTTCCTGCAGAGCACTGAGGATAACTTCTTGACACAGGTGGTGGAGACGCCAGCAAGGAGAGATGCAATGCTAGACCTTGTACTAACAAACAAACAAGGTCTGGTTGCAGATGTGAAGGTTGGGGGCAGCCTTGGCTGCAGTGTCCATGAGATGGTGGAGTTCAGGATCCTGCAAGGAGGAGGCAGGGCAAAATGTGGGATCCCAACCCTGGACTTCAGGAGAGTAAACTTCAGCCTTTTCAGGGACCTACTATGGTGGAATCTCATGGGGTAGGGCCCTAGAAGGAAGAGGACTCCAGGAGAGCTGGTTAATATTCAAGCATCACTTCCTCCAGGCTCAAGATGGGTGCATCCCTCTGAGGAAGAAGTCCAGCAAAGTGGGTAGGAAACCTCAATGGGTGAGCAGGGAACTGCTGGCAAAACTCCAGCAGAAGAAGGAAGCACACAGAATGTGGACAAGGGGACAGGCCACTTGGGAGGAATATAGGGACGTTGTCAGAGTGTGAAGGGATGCGACAAGGAAGGCTAAGGCCCAGTTGGAATTAAATCTGGCAAGGGATGTCAAGGACAACAAGAAGGGCTTCTTCAAATACATCAAGAGCAAAAGGAAGACTAGGGAAAACGTGGGCCCGCTGCTGAATGGGGCGGGTGCCCTGGTGACGAAGGATACAGAGAAGGCAGAGTTATTGAATGCTGCCTTTGCTTCCGTCTTCACTGCTAAGGCC